AAATATAACATATTAACACATAAAGAATACAGAGTGACAGTGATTCATTTTTCATTTAATATTATACTTTAGGTTTGTCAATTTGATTTTATATGTAAATATAAATTATATATAAATAATTATTAGCCCTTAGGTTTAAAACATTAGTCACAATTATAAAATGTGAATATAATGAATTGATTCAGTGATTCAATGACATATTTATGAGCTGAATCACATGAATTAGTTCACTAAAATGAATTGAAAGTACCCGTCATTAACCTGCATGATTGATGATTATTATATTATCACATTATAATTGTTATAAAGGATGATAAGAAACGTGATTTTCACAAATAGTGATAACAAATGTGAACGATTCTGATTGGTGTCGCAATTTTGCTCCCGAGACGCTCGTCAAATTCCTAAGGTATCTAGATGATAGATAATAAATAAATGGAATTTAACTAGGTAAAAAAAAATAGATAAGTATTTTTCTGTATTTTTTATACTAGGCGAAAACTATGCAGACATCAGACATGCATTGGCTTCGCCAGAGACTTCCAAAGGTGGGGGGAGCCACTAGATTAAATACTATATATCTACTATACATAAGGTTCATACCATCCCCCCACCACGGAAGACCAAATTTCGTACTCAATACAACATATTATTGTATACAATAATATAAACGTGTGTTTACCGAAAATATCTGTTAAAATATTTATGTCTTCCCCATTGAAAAAATTCTAGATACACCACTGTCATATATTATACTTTATAGGATTGTCTGTATACTACACAAACCAAGTGGAATGACCGGGCCTCTCGACCACCCAAAATGCGTCAGGTATAACGTGTATGAGTATAACGTTTTATTAATACACTTCTACACGATTAATCTGCTCTAATGTATAGCTGTAGTTGTACAATCGACATCTACGAGCCGTGTACCAGACAGATCCCTATGTTCATAATATGGGTAATTCCAAGGGATATACATAATGTTATAGGTACGTAGTAATAAATTCATAAATATAATTAAGCGGTTTTTGCAGAAATACGCTTTATCATTATTTTGAGTAATTAGTATTATATGTATATTAGATAAACCGACTTGTTTTTCTTCCGCTATTACCGGTCAGAAAATATAAATGATAAGTAATAACCTACAGGTACATTGAGTCAATAAATGGAAATATCACAACAGCCAACAAATTATTGGCTACCGAATCCTGACTATCAAGATATATTTTAAACTTTGTGAATTGTGGCTGCTTTAAATTTGTACTGTTAAAATATTATATTCTCTATATCTATATTACATTACTCTGTTGTGGTTTTCAAACACAACAATGTAAAAATGTACGTAGCTACACAAAAAAATGATCTAGATAAAATAATATAGATAACTGCATTTTTCATCTAAGATAAAAAAAAGATGACCGTAAAAAAAATGGAAGAATTTAATCTAGATAAGATTATAGATAATAATCTTTTCATCTAGAATCTTGATAAGTCCCAACACTGGACTAGTGGGTTGTCCCGAAAACGGAAGGAAACCCATTGCCGCGTATCTCGACCCGGATTATATGAGAGCTTACGGGTAGACCATATAACATAATATTACAAAAAAATAGATACCATACCACTACACTTGTTTCGTTTGCTGATCATCGCAGTTATCGCGACCGGTTGACACGTTGTTCAACTATACGTCTCGGTCGGTCCCGTAGATTAATAATATTACTGTTGATGATCAGTACCGCCAAAGCGTGTACACGACGAGCACGCGATTCCGTTTACGCACACTTACCAATTGTATAACCTAATCTTCACGCTGTTGAGTGACTTCGTCCTTTCACCAATAAACGGCGATTATATGCTAGTGTACGGGACATTTCAGTTTGCTTCTTCCACACCGGTTCAAATGGAACTATCCGCCATGGACAGATTTTGCGGATCGACTTTTTGGGTAAGTCTCGACTTTTTGCGCAGACTCTTTGTATTAACTGCCGTTGGTCATTCGGAAAACCTTAAATAAATATACATACATTTTATATTGTTATTTATGTGTTGAAAAAATATTTGTAGACGTCAATGCTAATATTATCAATCATTGTTTTCGTATGTATTTAGGACTGGAACTTGTCCTGGAACACCACCGATCCCGAGGTGACGCCGTGTTTTGAAAAGACAATTCTAGTCTGGACACCTTGCCTGTTTTTGTGGCTTTTCTCTCCGATAGAGATCTATTACTTGGTGAATAGCAAATACAGAGACATACCGTGGAACTGGCTCAATATGGTGAAAGTGGTATGTTTTTTTTCTTTAGCACTTTTAAGTTTTGGTAACCCAGTTTAGGCGTTTAATTTGGATATACTAACAAATACAAATATTTAGGTATTTTATTCACATTTGTTCAATATGAAACACGAGGAAACACTGTTCTAGAAACATTTCAAGTTATAGTTTCTGATGTTATTTAAATTATAACGACGTTCTAAACTTGAGCTTCAGCGTTTAATTTGGATATTCTACCAAATATGAATGTATAATAATTTGATTATACATACAATAATAATCATTAAAAGTTGGAATGAATTCTATATAATATATAATATCTATAAAATGGTTCAATAATTATACCCAGGGTGAAAATACTTTTGAAACCTTTTCGGTATATATTTATATCTATGATCTATCTATAAACATCTAATGTCATCAATAATTCTTATCACACATCTAATTTGGTAATTTACTCCCTAATTATAATTTAAAATAAGGGGGTTTTTTTTTATAAAATATTATAATCTAGCTAGGTTAAGAAAATTGAATTTTTTTACAGTAGACTCAAATAACATGTTTTTCGTTATTTCCTATATTTTATAATTCATTAATCGTCACTTATTGATATTTATACAAATTTGCATTTAATAAAATATAACAATAAACAAACGAATTAAAATACTAAAAAATACAGTAAAAATAATTTAATTAATCAAAAATTAATTTGTCTGGTTTTTATTTCTGCGAACTTTTTAATAGTCTACATTTTCACCCAAAACAGGTTCAATTGAAATAATTGCTAAATCAGAAAGTCGAGTTTACACCATTGTTGTTATCAAATAATTCTTAATGATTTTCAACTTCGAAAAACACCTCTCAGCTCTTGCAGTGGTTATCTGAAGAGTTAATAATATTCTTAACTTGATAGAAATATTTGGAAATTAACAAAATGTTGATTCTATTAAATTAAGACACTCGATACAGGTGTTTTGTGTGTTCAAAATTCTACAAAATATTTTTAACTCGTCAAAAAGTTCAATTCTATTTAAATCGCAACTTTTACCGTCCTTTAATAATATTTCTAAGTCCATACAATGCTTCCGTAATGTTTCATCTTCAAATAACTTCAAATTTTTATAAAAATACTAAGTTTTCTGAATGATGAGATAATCGCTCGAATCGTTGATTAATTGATACAATTGCTTGATCTACCACTGCCGTAAAATAATCTTAATACAATTTTTATTCATTAGAAACCGTACGTGTATATCATTACATTCATAAGCAAACTGCTTACTTTTTTTTAGAACTCTAGATTGTTTAAAAATTGATTGAGTTCCAATGTCTTCACATAATTGTTGTGCAGTTTTTTTTGATAACTCAAACCTTTTTTCTCTAAAATTATTAAAAAAATCTGTAAGACCACTAAATAACTGAACAGCATTACTCAGTTCCATATTTTCGCTCTGAAGACTCTACTAACTTTATTAATAGCAGATAGTAGTTCATTCCAAAGAACAACACTTAAAATAAAATCATAAGAAAATTCATAATTTGTCAAAGACTAAAAAATACTACTAATAAAATCGGTCTACCTCTACCAACTATTTGCTCAATAAATATTATTTAATATCATCAATGTTTTTCCAACGATGACAACCGACGAACGACGGTGACGTTTGAAATCTATTGATCATCATTATCTATTACTAATAAGTAATAACAATTCGACGAAAAAGACGGTGGATGGCTGCTCTGTCATCAACACGGTGTGCTCATATGTGTTGCGATTACGATAATATTGTATCATTGATATTTCAATATTTTTACTTTGAATCAACTACGTTATTTTTATATAATTTTTGATACTTACTAATTATATAAAACATAAAACTTAAATACTATGAAAATAAAACAATTTTTTTTTTTAAAAGACTACTTTTTTTCAAATCCGAGGCCCTGAATTTAAGCAAAAAGTGCGAGGTCCAGGGTCTGGGCCCTGCTCGCCTCCTTTAAGGATGACCTGTAGATACTACTTTAAAATTGCATATGTTTCTTCATTTTTACTGCTTACGATAACATATTATTGACTAGCGTAATATATAATATTATTTCATTTAAACTATTATTTTTTAATTAATTTTAATTATTAATTTTTATTTTAGTTAAATTATTCAAACTGCGAAAAGTTTTAATAGGTATTATATAGTGTTCTTAAGTTCAAAATTGTTAATATTTTTTTGATTTTAATTTTTTGTCATTAGTTCTATGTTAGTTTCTTTTATGAATTTAAGTACTTAAATAAGTATAAGTATAAGTAGACGAACATATTTTTGGCTGTTTTTACTGACCACAGATCAATGTTTTCTTTTTAAATTAAATACGTACTCATTAAACATGAATTATTGTTCTTTATCAAAAAACATATCTATATGGTTATACAATTAAAATATTTAATCCTAAAATGCTATTAGTACATATACATACACAAGACACTCAAACATAAATCAATTTATAGATGATAGTATAAGTGTATTGTTATAAAATGAGTAATTTTTTTATCTGATTGATTATGTAAGTACGTACACTTTGTTTTTAGTATTGATTTTATAAACATTAAATATTTTTTGAAATTTAAATGTAGTATTATCTTTTTTATATTTTTTATAGGCTGGTGTATCTTTGTTATGTATAATATCAACATTCGATATTGTATATGCAATAGTTCGATATTCATCAGGGATGGCTGTATTTAGTGTAGATATCTACACACCACTTGTAAAACTAATAACATTCGTAAGTATATCGGTTTTGTCATAGTTTTGTACTCACATCATATCCGATCTTAAAAAACAATATTCATAGTTTATATAGTACATATTATTAAGTCTATAAACTGATTTTCAGGGATTTGTCACAGTATTAATTAGTGTTAATCGAACAAGAGGATTAAGGTCATCTGGCTTAATATTTCTGTTTTGGTTATCCATGGCATTTTGTGGGATGATTCAATATCGAACTGAACTCCGATCAGCATTTAATGATGTAAGATAACTTATTATGAACGTTGATTAATTAAACCACAGAAAACTGTAAATTAATAATGTTTTTTTATGTTTAGATTCCACTACATAACTACCCATTTACAAGTTACATGGTGTATTACCCCATCATCTTAATAGAGTTTGTTTTAAGTTTCTTTGCCGATGCTGCCCCTAGAAAATCCCACTATGATTCCGTCCAGGTAAATTTTCCGACACATATTTGTATTTCTTAATTATACATTATTACTTATTTCTTTACGGTTAACCAATTTCTAGGTACCATGTCCTGAGATGGAAGCATCATTTCCGTCGAAGGTATTATATTTATGGTTTGACTCATTTGCTTGGTCTGGTTATAAACGCCCCATAGAGTCCAAAGATTTATGGAATGTGAACTATGATGATAGTTCACAAGAAGTAGTTTCAGTCTTTGATAAACATTGGGAACATTCATTAATTAAAGCAAAGTAAGGACGAAGTAATAAGTATAATATACCTATTAGGATGATGATGATGCAGATCATTGATCCGTATAGTACCAAAACTACAAAACCTTTGAATATCCTACTTAAATCTTTTATCAATGTCGTGTAAATATTGTATGTTTTTTATTATAAGGGTACCTAAATACTTTGTATTAAAAAAAAAAGGAAAAAACTTTACAGATTACAAGATAGTAGAAAAGGACCTTCCGCTAAAAATAAAGTGAGTACGACCGATGTATCACTTAGAAAACACACACATAAGAAGAAATACAAAGTATCAATTATTCCTGTTTTGTGTAAATCATTTGGCGGTACATTTTTATTCGGATCATTTTTAAAATTAATTGAAGATTTCTTAGTTTTTGTCAGCCCTCAAGTACTGAAGTAAGTATTTAATTAGTATTATTGTCTTCACAACAAGTTATAATAAAGTACTTTTTAGGCGCTTGATAAGTTTTGTTGGAGATTCCACCCAGCCTTTGTGGAGAGGGTATTTTTATATTTTTCTCATGATGGTGACGGCAATGTTGCAAACATTATTATTATCTCAGCACGCTCAGCGTACGTATCTCGTTGGTATGCGTGTTCGTACTTCACTTACATCTGCCATCTATCGAAAGGTATACATTTAAAATAATTCATAATAATTGCATTCACATTATTCATTCATACATTTTTCAACCAATTTTTTCAAGGCTTTAAGAATTTCAAACACAGCAAGAAAATCATTCACAACGGGTGAAATAGTTAATTTAATGGCTGTAGACGCCTATAGATTTGTTGATCTGATAACTTATTTAGATATGATTTGGTCGTCGCCGTTACAAATCGCTCTTGCAGTGTATTTTTTATGGCAGATTTTAGGACCAAGTGTACTTGCTGGGCTATTTTTGATGATAGTATTAATACCAATAAACGCTGCTGTGGCTAATCAATCAATGAAACTTCAGGTCAAACAAATGGCCAACAAAGATCAAAGAGTTAAATTAATGAATGAAATTTTGTCCGGAATAAAAGTAATGTTATTTTAAAAACAATCATCAACATAATACATTTTTGTATCAAAATTGTAATAATAATAATTTATTTATCAGGTCTTAAAACTTTATGCTTGGGAACCAAGTTTTGAACAAAAAGTGTTGGATATTCGAGGAAAA